ACATATGAAGAACTACTTCAGGAACTCTTCTCCAGGGAAACAGTTGAAAGAGACTTATTCTATGGCTTGCTGACCCATCCTTTTATCTGTGCCCGTTTATACTCCAAGTGATAAAAATTTCTGTCAAATGAAAATATTAATAAATAAATGCAAGTTTCTTTCCTAGGTGTAACTTCAATCTCCTCTCTCTCCCCTTTGAGCACTCTATCTCTAAATTGAATTATGAAACCAGGAGGAGGACTTTTCTAAACATTATTTATCCCCAAACTTTTACATATGAAAACCAATAACGGGTTATGGTTGAACCTACCCAGCACAGAATTATATAGCTAATTAGCTGTAAGCAGCAAGTCAGATATTTCAAGAAAGCCAAAAAAAACTGGCCAATACCAACTCCCACCAACAATAAATAAGCAAACTCCACTTTACAAGGTACTTTTTTTTCCAGATTAAATAGGTAACAGATAAATGCCAAATCTCTGCTTTTACTTGGTTTAAAGGATATGTCGAGGTTGCTGTATAATTCTAAAACAAAGTTGTTGTTTTTACATTACCTTGTCAGATCAACTTTTCCCCCACCTCTCTCTGTTAAACAAATAAATGCAACTTAGACATCAAATCCCTTTATTCAATTTTCAAAGAAACTTTTTGTACATCTCATTCACCGACTAAACTTCCCATCAAGTTAGCAAGGTTTATTGGTTTCCAGAAGGATGTTAGCATAAAGATATTTCTTATTTCAGCCACACAACTACTATAAAATAGCGCCTGTGAGGAGAAAGTGGCAGTATGGTCATGGTTCCAAAAGGGAGCCAGGAGCTCAAATTGTAAGTGCGTTTTAAAAATAGCATAGCAGCTATGATTATAATTTAGCTCCACAGCATGTAAGCGTGGTATGAACAGGAAATGGGAGTACATCTTCTGAGCCTGATAAGATTCTCTAATGTAAGACATATGCTCTGTATCTTAGCTGGAGAGCTAGACCTAGCCAGAAAGAAGAAAAGCATATATGTTTATCTTTAATCCAAATATTAAACCTATCAACCTTGGAAGATTTTTTGAATTGCTATTGAATTAAGTGATGAAGTCAATGCAGCATACATTCAAAAGTGAAAAAAAATACCTTTATAAAAATACCTTTATTAAAAATGAAAATTTGAAGTAACTTCCAGAGGAAAATTAATTAAGTGAGCTACGCATACTAAGACTGTGTTATCTCAGTGCAAGCTCCGAAGGGCAGAGCCTCTCCTTAGAGAAGTCAGTGCTAATCAGGGGACACTCCAGATAAAAGTTGAATTCACTAAGGCTCGCATGTTTTAAGAACATTTTACAATGTCAATAATTATTCCTAATTCTAGTTATGACAAATAGAAACGTGACAAAATGCCCTTGAGTTTACTCCTACATTCTAGGAAGGAACTGATGGTTTAACCATATGCTTCCAGATTAGCATTGTAGAGAATGTATAAGATAAAGCAACAAGGCTTAGCAATAGGTACATGACAGTACAGCAAAGTACAGATTGACTTATTACATCACCCAATTTTATTGTCCACATTAGAGACAATGAAAAGGAGCTGATACCAGTGCCTATCATCAAAATACAAATTTTGATTTATTACCCTTTTATGCAAATCATAGTAAAGAAAACCTTTAACAGCTGGAAAAGAAACCCCCCCAAAAAAGTACTTTAGTTTCTAGGCTCTATTCCTTTACAAACAGAAGGTTAGGAGATTTTTCTGGTTATTCAGTATAAGAATAATTTGCTCATTCAACAAAAATTTATCAAGTGCTTCCTATGCATGAGGCACTGTTGTAATGGCCTAGGGCTATAGCAGTAGGAAAGACAGACAAGGAGCTTACATTCCAGTAGAAATCATTCAGTAAATACATAAACAAGAGACCTTGAAGGGTAATGAGTGCTGTTAAGGGAATGAAAGGATGATGTGTAGAGAAAAACAGAATAGGTGGGGACCGTTTTAAATAGGATGGTCAAACAAAGGCTTGCTTGAGCTGAGACCTAAATGATGAGAATCCAAATGGGTGAACACACAGGAGAATGTTCTAAGGGTAGAGGTAAGAGCTAGTACCAAAGGTCCTGAGGTCAGAACAAACTTGACTTCTTCAAGGAATAGAAACAAATTCAGTGAGGCCAAAACATGGTGATTGATGGGGAGCGGGGAAGAGAGGAGGTTGGGGAGTCAGTAAGGAGCCAGATCATATAGGACCTATTGCTGTACCTTGGTAAGAAGTTTGGATTTCTTTTAAGGAATAATGAAAAGTCATTGGAGAATTTTATGTGACCTTGATATGATTTTTGTGTTTTTTTAATTATAAAATATTTCAGGTATCCAAAACTGTATAGATAACAAGCATATGGATACTGCAAGAAATTAGATTCAGTGAAATCCCCATGGTACCCTTCTCAATCCTATTCCCCTCCCTCTTTTTTCTTTTTTTTAAAGATTTATTTATTATTTATTTATTCATTTTATTTATTTTTGGCTGCATGGGGTCCTAGTTGCGGCACGCAGGATCTTCGTTGAGGCATGTGGGATCTCTCTTTGCCACGTGTGGGCTTCTCCCTAGTTGTGGTGTGTGGGTTTTTTCTCTTCTCTAGCTGCGGCGTGCAGGCTCCTGAGCGCGTCGGCTCTGTGGTTTGCGGCACGCAGGGTCTAGTTGAGGCACACCAGCTCGGTAGTTGCGGCACACGGGCTTAGTTGCCCTGCAGCATGTGGGATCTTAGTTCCCTGACCAGGGATCAAACCCGCATCCCCTGCATTGTAAGGTGGATTTTTTACCACTGGACCACCAGGGAAGTCCCTCCCCTCCCTCTTTAAAGGTAACTCCTATTCTGAATTTTATGTTTATAATATTCATTCATGTTTTTGTGCTTTTACCACACACACACACACACACACACACACACACTCACACTCACACACACGCATAAATGTCCATAAACAATATGTGTAACACTGCTTTGCTTTTTTAAATTAAGGTATAATTGATATTGCATGTTTTTAAACTTTATATGAATGGTACCATACTGTACCTATTCTGCAACTTGCTCTTTTTCCCCTCTGTTGTATTTTTTTGAGATTTATTCATTCATATGGAGTTCTTATTCATTTATTTTAAACAACTGTTTAGTATTCTTTTATATTAAAATACCATAATTTATCCATTCTTTGGCTGATGGACATTTATGTTGTCTTCAATGCTTCTGTTCATATCTCCCTGAGCAGGTAATGGAATATAGAGAGACAAGAGCGGAAACGTGAAAACCAGTTAGAAGACTCTTCAGAGTGCAGCAGAAAGCCAGCGGTGGCTAGGGCTAAGATAAAGCAACTGAGATGAATAGACAGGGAGAAATTTGGTATACATTTTGGAAATGCAGCTGATTGGACTTACAAATGGATTGATAGGGAGGAGGGGTTGCAGAGAGACGGTTAGAAATCAAGGATGAATTGGCCTTGAGCTATTTTGGCCTTGAGCTATTTTTCGAGGGCATCTAAAGGCCCAAATCTTAGGACTTCAAAAAGTAACATGTGATGTGATACCTTTCTTCTCTAGTACCTTGCAATGTGCAATATTAGGTACTTCATAAAATTCTGTTGAATGAATAAATAATTGAATAAATCATAGACTTTAGGGCTTCCCTGGTGGCGCAGTGGTTGAGAATCTGCCTGCTAATGCAGGGGACACGGGTTCGAGCCCTGGTCTGGGAGGATCCCACATGCCGCGGAGCAACTAGGCCCGTGAGCCACAACTACTGAGCCTGCGCGTCTGGAGCTTGTGCTCCGCAACAAGAGAGGCCGCGATAGTGAGAGGCCCGCACATCACGATGAAGAGTGGCCCCCACTTGCCACAACTAGAGAAAGCCCTAGCACAGAAACGAAGACCCAACACAGCAAAAATAAATAAATTAATTAATTAAAATAAATTTGTTAAAAAAATAATAATAATAGACTTTACAATTGGTTCTCTGTGGTATACTGGGATTATATTGAGATTTAGTTATATGACAACCTAGAATATTTTCAGATGAAATGAAGTGGGGTTTTGTTAAAATAATCAAGAGGGGAATGTGTGTGTTTGAGGATTATTAGTAAAACAAGATTGACTCTAAGTTAAACATTTTTTTTTTTTTTTTTTTTTGCTGTACGCGGGCTCTCCTGTTGCAGAGCACAGGCACCCGACGCGCAGGCTCAGCGGCCATGGCTCACGGGCCTAGCCGCTCCGCGGCATGTGGAATCTTCCCGGACTGGGGCACGAACTTGCGTCTCCTGTATCGGCAGACGGACTCTCAACCACTGCGCCACCAGGGAAGCCCTGTGTTAAACATTTTTGAAGCTGAGTGATGGGTATATAGAAATTGCACTTTTGTGAATGTATGAAAATTACCATGATAAAAAGTGTAAAAAGAGATATGAAAAAATTTTAGTTATCTTCCCATCAGGATGTGAGTTGCCCCAATATGGCGTCAAGTAAACATAACCACTCCACGTAAGTAGGTTGTCAGAAAATTCAGGCGGTCCAGGCAAAGTTCTTAACCTTTTGGGGTTTACAAATTCCTTAGAGAATTTGATGAAACATGTGAAAAGTTTTCCCAGAAAAAAAAATACACATATACACAATTTTGCATAAATAAATCAGGATTTTAAAAATTTTTTTAAAGCTGATGTCATAGACCAGGTTAAGAAATCCAGATAAGGACTTTCTTGGTGGTGCAGTGGGTAAGACTCTGTGCTCCCAATGTAAGGGGCCCAGGTTCAATCCCTGGTCAGGGAACTAGATCTCACATGCATGCCACAACTAAAGTCCACATGCTGCAACGAAAAAAAAAGATCCCGCATGCTGCAACTAAAGATCCTGCATGCCACAACGAAGATCCCATGCAACTAAGACCCGGCGCAGTCTAAATAAATATATATATATATATATATATATATATATATATTTTTTTTTTTTTTTAAAAAAAAAGAGAAGAAATAAACATAAACTCAGGAAAAGACCTCACTGAAGTCTGACTTCAGCACTACGAGTTCTCAGGTAATTTGTTAATACAGAATTTTGTCCTATTAGTTTTTTTAATGTTCTACTTTCCACAGTTGGTGCTTACATTCCTACCTAGAGTTTGCAGCTGGATGACTGAAGTTTGAGTCTTGTTTTTATCGCTTTAAAGATGATGATCCTGCAAAATTACTTAACCTTTCTAAGCCTCAGCTTCTTTATCTGTAAGTTTGAAATAGGAATACACCTAGTGCTATTGGTGATAAAAATGAGCTAATATAATTGAAAGTCCTTGGTAAGATTTAAAGAGCACTATAAATTGGTGGTAAAATTTTATGCTTATTATGTGCCAAGAACTCTTCTAAACACTTTAAGTACCATTATTAACCTCATTTTTACACATGAAGAAACTAAGACACACAGAAGTTAAGTAACGTGCCTAATGTCATATGGCTAGTAAGGGGTTGAATTAGAATTTGAGCCCAGCCAATCTGACTCTAGAGTGTATGCTCTTAATCTTTATGCTGTGAATTTTAGTATTATTCACCCTGAATATAATACCCCTCCACTGCTCCATGATATAATATTGTGCGCATCTGATGAATACTCTCAACCTAGGCCTGAGAGGAAAACTGTAATTCAAGTAGCAGCCAAATTCTAAGGGACACAAAATGATGCCATGAGACTTCCCTGGTGGCGCAGTGGTTAAGAATCTGCCTACCAATGCAGGGGACACAGGTTAGATCCCTGGTCTGGGAAGATCCCACATGCCACGGAGTAACTAAGCCTGCGAGCCACAACTACTGAGCCTGTGTGCCACAACTACTGAAGCCCATGTGCCTAGAGCCCGTGCTCCACACAAGAGAAGCCACCACACTGAGAAGCCCATGCACTGCAACGAAGAGTAGCCCCCGCTCATCACAACTAGAGAAAGCCCTAGCGCAGCAACAATGCAGCCATAAATAAATAAATAAATATTTTTTAAAAAATGATGCCACCTTGTCTTATTTTTTAATTTAAAAAAACTAAAGTTTTTAATGAAAATTAATTAATTAATTTTTTCTTTTTGTGGTAGGCAGGCCTCTCACTGCCGCGGCCTCTCCCGCTGCGGAGCACAGGCTCCGGACGCGCAGGCTCAGCGGTCACGGCCCACGGGCCCAGCCGCTCCGCGTCACGCGGGACCCTCCCAGACCGGGGCACGAACCCGCACCCCCCACATTGGCAGGCGGACTCCCAACCACTGCACCACCAGGAAAGCCCTAATTTTTTATGTTGTTAATTTTTTTCTATGTTTAGTATTTATACTGTAAGATTTGATTTGATTTAAGTTCTTTTTTTGGAGAAGTTGTTAACTCCGGGGGTGGGGCAGGGAAAATAAAGTGATTCTGGAGCATCTTTTGATGCCAAGAAAAGTAAGGAAGTACTCAAAAACCAATGGCAGGGGCTTCCTTGGTGGCGCAGTGGTTGAGAGTCCGCCTGCTGATGCAGGGGACACGGGTTCAGGGAGATCCCACATGCCGCGGAGCGGCTGGGCCCGTGAGCCATGGCCGCTGAGCCTGCGCGGCCGGAGCCTGCGCTCCGTAATCAGAGAGGCCACAACAGGGAAAGGCCCGCGTACTGCAAAAAAACAAAAAACAAAAAAGCAATGGCAGCATATCAAAAAGACATAGGGGCCAACTAGAAAGGACTTTCAGTGACCAAAGATGAAACAATTTGAGCAAGAAATAAATAACAATAGGATTGGATTATAATCCATAGAATAAATAAATATCCATGAATCTTACTGATATTAATAAATTTTAAAATAAATAGGAGTGAAGAGACAGTCTACCTTACATAAAAATTCCAATTAATAAATGTGGAAGAAATGAGGAAAATACTGAACACAGAACACCACAGTAATATTTGTTGCAGGCAAGATCCATCAGTGGATAATAAAATCAGTGGAATAGAAACAGGGTATTTTCATAATCTTAAAGTGTCTCCCCCAAATATTTATTAATTATAAAGGTAAAAACAGTGGAGAAACCTGGCAAATAGCACCTTAACCAAGTGATGAGAGTTAACATCACTGGTATAAGATACCAATATCATGAACTCCTGGATTATGATGTCCTAAGAAGGACACATCACTTCTGTGAATTCTGATCAAAAATGCATAAAACTCAATTTAATCATGAGAAAATAGCAAATTCTATAGAAAACCTAACTAATATTCTTCAAAAGTGTCAAAGTCATGAAAGACAAGGAGAGACTGAGGAATGGTTCACATTGTTGGAGACTAAGCAGAGCTGACAACTACATGTGAGATCCTGGACAGGATCATGGAAAAGGATGATAGGGAAAACAGGGTAACCCAAAGAAAGTCTGTAGATTAATTATTGTTATTCTCTATTATTAGGTATTATAGCAATGTTAATTTCTTAGTTTTGATCATTATACTGTGGGTCATGTAAACTGTTAAATGTTAGGGGAAGGAACATCAAGTGTACACAGGAACTCTCCTGTTCTATGTAACTTTTCTATAAGTCAAATTATTTCAAAATAAAAAAAGTTACAAGCAAAACATAAACCCTGGGTTTCCCTGGTGGTGCAGTGGTTGAGAGTCCGCCTGCCGATGCAGGGGACACGGGTTCGTGCCCCGGTCCGGGAAGATCCCACATGCCGCGGAGCGGCTAGGCCCGTGAGCCATGGCCGCTGAGCCTGCGCGTCCGGAGCCTGTTGCTCCGCAACGGGAGAGGCCACGACAGTGAGAGGCCCGCGTACCGCAAAAAAAAAGAGAAAAAAACACATAAACCCTGATCTTGCATTGTTTAAGTAATTGTTTAAATGATCTATTCCAATGTTTCTCCGAACTCAGTCATCTGAATACAAATTTCAGGATTTTTACCAATCTACCAAACATTTACTGATTTCTCGCACTGTTTTACAGGGGAGGAAATTGAGGCACAATGAAGTAAGTGACTCAACATCACAGAACTAACAGGTAACCGAACCAGGATTCACCTTTAGGCAGTTTGACTCAGTGTGTGTTAACTTCTCCTCTATACTACCTCCCTCCTGTACCCAATACTGCGATCACCTGTATCATTCTTTACTTACTAGCTTCTTTAAAGTTGAGCCAGTTTATTTTAAACTTAAAAGACAGCAAGTAAACTATATTATAAGGTCCTCCGGATAGGAATTTTTGTTCTCTCTACTGATGTACCACAAGTTCATTGAATAGTGCCTGGCACATTGAAGGTAGTACTCAATAAACATTAATTGAATGAATGAATTAAAAACTTTATATCATAACTGTAAATGGAAAGCCAGAATCATTTTCCAGAAATAGAAAGTAATCTTCAAAATAAATATGATGGAGGCTTCCCTGGTGGCGCAGTGGTTGAGAGTCCGCCTGCCGATGCAGGGGATGCGGGTTCGTGCCCCGACCCGGGAGGATCCCACATGCCGTAGAGTGGCTGGGCCCGTGAGCCATGGCCGCTGAGCCTACGCTCCCGGAGCCTGTGCTCCGCAGCGGGAGAGGCCGCAGCAGTGAGAGGCCCGCGTACCGCAAAAAAAAAACAAAATAAATATGAGGAGAGACTTCCCTGGTGGCGCAGTGGTTAAGAATCCGCCTGACAATGCAGGGGACACAGGTTCGAGCCCTGGTCCAGGAAGATCCCACATGCTGCAGAGCAGCTAAGCCTGTGTGCCACAACTACTGAGCCTGCGCTCTAGCACCCGCGAGGCACAACTACTGAGCCCACGCGCCTAGAGCCTGAGCTCCGCAACAAAAAGAAGCCACCACGTTGAGAAGCCTATGCACCTCAACGAAGAGTGGTCCCCGGTCGCCACAACTAGAGAAAGCCCGCACACAGCAACGAAGACCCAACGCAGCCAAAAATAAATAAATAATAATTTTAAAAATAAAAGTAATGCAAGGAAAAGAAAAAGTAATGCAAGTGTTAGAAGATATAAAAAAAGGATACCAGTTACAAACAGACTTTCTCCTTTCTCCTTGATTTAATCAGAAGTTTTCAATTAGAATGACAAAGAGAATAATTTTCTGAGTAAATAGATTTTATTTAAAGTTGTATCAGTTTGCCACCTAAAATCAGCACACAAATGCGCAAGGTAAGGGACCATTCTTTGTGGAAGGTGGCTCTATTCTAAAGGGACCAATCGAGTGAGGGCTTATGTGAGATTAGACAGCTCAGTCTGTCTTGATCATCCTCATGCCTTAAATGTCATCTCTTCTTTTCTGTAATCTCCTACCTCCTCTTGATTACCTCTCATTTCTATCTCTATCCCCTATAGAATTATTTTTACTTCTTGTAACACTCCTTAGTGCATACCTCTTTAATAGCACTTAAAATATAAATTCATCATTATTTTTCTCCAATTCTGTGTCCTTCACTTAAATTATAATTATGTAGGGCATCAGGGAGTGTGTAATAGCATATTTATATCTCCAGAGCTCTTACCAGTATCTAACAAGATGGTAGGCCCACAACAAACTGTTGAATTATTAAACTAAGAAAATTACAGAAATTAGAGGGGGAGAAAAGAACAGTGTGATTTTCTTCCATCCTTGAAGCCATGATTTTGTCTTCACCTGTGTCTGAAAAGCTTATTATTATTCAGATCCTTTATAAAATCTTCCCAAACACACATGAGGGTTCTCCATGAAGATGAAAAGTAAATAACAATCCTTTCCTTCAGAAGCTCTCAGAATTAATTTGCTTCCTCGAGCAATTATAATATATCACTCTTCCTTTGCAGAATATTTGCTAAAACATGGATGGATGCCTCCATTGTAGACATTATTGCCATATTTTTGTGGCTTGCTTATAAAGTGAGGTCAGTGCTAAGGTCACTTCTCTGTACCTGGGTGATGATCTCTGCTCTCCACAGAAAGGATGAGGGCCTGTCCTAGCTGACGTTAGGTTAACACGGTACAGGATGGCAAAGGAAACACACTACAGAGCAATATTCTTTTTTTTTTTTAAGGAAAGCTAACTTTAAAAAAAAATTTATTAATTTATTTTTGGCTGCACCGTGTCTTCATTGCAGCATGCGGGATCTTTTTAGTGTGGCATGTGGGATCTTTAGTTGCAGTATGTGGACTTCTTAGTTGCGGCATGCATGTGGGATCTAGTTCCCCGACCAGGGCTCGAACCTGGGCCCCCTGCATTGGGAGCGCAGAGTCCTACCCACTGGACCACCAGGGAAGTCTCAGAACAATATTCTTACTAGAAGCCAGAAATGTAACCTTCCTTGGACATCTCTTGAGATGGTTAATAGCAGTTTCTTTTGAGTATATAATTATGTCTAGATAGAAATCAACCTGTTAACAACTATTGCATTTGAGAACAAGATTCAACATATGAGTACAAGACCTAACATGGGGGCACATGGCAAGCATCCCTGAGATACTGAGCTAAAATTACCTCTACTTTATGAAATTATTATACAGAAATCAATAGCTTTCATACACACAAAAAACACGTAAGAAATATAATGGAGGGACTTCCCTGGTGGTGCAGTGTATAAGACTCCACACTCCCAGTGCAGGGGACCCAGGGTTCGATCCCTGGTCAGAGAACTAGATCCCACATGCATGCTGCAGCTAAGAGTTTGTGTGCCACAACTAAAGAGCCTGCCTGCTGCAACTAAGACCCAGAGCAACCAAATAAATAAATAAAATATTTAAAAAATATATATAATGGAAGAAAAGAATCTATTATAATAAGCCATAATATATATATAATTCTTCATTCATTATAAACGTTACTAGAACTTTAAAACCACACTCAGATACCAATTTTCTCCTATCAGGCAAAAACCCAAACATTTTACAACACGCTCTGTTGGCATAGCTGTCAGAAAACAGGTACTCTTATACATATAGTATAAAGTGACATAGCCCCATGGAAGGTAATTTGGCAATAGTGCAACATTACAAATGCATTTATTTTTAGCTTCCCAATGCCTATTCTGCTTTATACCAGCAATGTGTAAAGTAGCTGATGTGCACTGTTACTCATTTCAGCATTGTTAGTAATAGCAGACAACTGGGGGAAAAATCAAGCATTCATCAGAAGATGCTTGTACAAAAACAAATTATATAGATCTCAATTGAGGGACATTTTACAAAATACCTGACTGGCATTCCTCAAAGCTGTCAAGGTCAGCAAAACCAAGGAAAGTCTAAGAAACTCTCACGACCAAGAGGAACCTAAGGAGACATGATGAGTAAATGTATATGATTTCCTGGAACAGAAAATGGTAAAACTAAGGAAATCTGAGCAAAGTATAGACTTTAGTTAATATTAATGTATCAATACTAACTCAATAATTGTAACAAGTGTACCATGCTAAAATAAAATGTTAATAATAGGGGAAAACAAATAGATGGGAATTCTCTGTATTATATTCACAATATTTTTGTAAATGTAAAACTGTTCTTAAGAAATGAAAGTTATTAACAAAAATAAATTATGAGATAGCCATGTGATGGGATAATTCTATGAAACATTCAAGAAAGAAAAAGGAAGCTCTTTCTGAACTGATAAGGAAAGATCTGCAAGGTTGTAAAGTGAAAAGAGCAGTTGTATAAGCACCTGTATTTGTCTAAGGAAACCATGTGTGCACACACAATACCTAATAACAGTGGTCGCCTGTCAGGGCTAGAGTAGGAAAAACAGGGTGGATGGAGAACAGGGTGGGAAGAAGAATACACACACACACACACACACACACACACACACGCTAACTATGTGAATGGAATACCTAGTTAACTAATTAAGTTAACTCCTGCCTATAGGACCCTCTGTGAATGAGCGGTGAGATGGACTCCTGGGTAAAATGTGATTATTGCTGAGAATTCCCTTCCCCAAGTGATGAATCTTTCTACCCTCTGCATCTCTATAAAATCATTTAAAAAATAAGTATAAAATAAAAATCAAACTGATTTGAGCCTGCCAAACTTATACGAACCAAAACACCTAAACCACTTTAACTAAAAAATCATGTTACCCCTCCATAAAATCCTCAATTTCTTTTTCTGTAAAGTGAGGGTAGGCTCAAATAAAATTTTCTGTTTTGAAAAACTCTTATCATTGATTGAAAGAAAGACAATTCACGGGTAGGAAAAAAAAGGAGGAGAGAGGGAAGAATGGCAGATTCATGAAAAGCTTTGAAATGAAGAGCAAGATAATGAAAGTTTGTTATTTTTTAAAAATATTAACAGAATCAAGTTCTGTTCTACCTCTAGGAAGATATTCCTTCACTGAGTATTTTAACGGTAGATAGAGGGACAGAATAATTTGAAATTGGAAGTTTCTCATTTAGAAAAAAAAAACACTAGTGATTGGAAGAGTAAGATTCATTTTACCTTTATTTCAAAGAACTTTTAGAAACAATTCGAATGGAAAGGCATTTAATTATATGAGCTTCACAATGACATTATCTTCAAATGAGGCCCGCCTCCTAACATTTGAGGTGGTCAAGGTCAAAAGTATACACTGGGGTCAACAGCCACTATATCTAAATACTTTAAAGTGATAAATCAAGCTAGCAAATTGTTAAATAGATATTTAAACACTCCTATCTTGACATCTTCATAACAACCTAAAAGATTAGGTTTGAATTTAGATTTCTCAGACTCTTCAGAGTTCCATAGCAGATAATAACAGGAAGGAGGAGGAGAGCTGAACCCTAGCCTCTGGCCTGTGACTTATCCATCCTTGGGAGGATAAATGTGGAAAAGAAGCCATGGAAGTTGCTTGGACCAGGTGACCTTGGAATTCCTCTGTCCAGGTTACCCCACATGTGGTCTGATAGAGGACACACAGGCTCTGAGTAGGCAATTCCCCTTAGCAACACAGACATCTCACTCCATGGCCAGGGATAAGGTTTCAAAGGAAGGCAAGGGTAGGGTCCTCAGAAGTTTGGGGACCAGGGTCAGGGACATTTCTCATCCTGGTCTAAGGGTGATACTGCTTCAGATACTTCTTAGTGATCAGTCATCAGATGAGGGAGGGAATAAAGAGTAAAGCTTTCATTCTTTTGGGTCCCTTGAAATATCATTTTGCAGTGGAGATTTTTTTTATGATAATATTAATTGACAAATGGAGAAAAATCAAAAGATGGAAAGATTTGTCTTTGGGTATCATGCAACATTGAGATTTTCTGAAATTCAAGGTCATATTAAAATAAAGCAGAATTGGTTGATTTTTATTATTATTTAGTGCAGTTTTTACATAGTGTGTGATTTAAAACGTAATCTCTAGAGAGGAGGGAGGGAGGGTAGCGAGAATGGAGACTTTTACCCTTCAGTTGGTACCACTCTTAACCGTTGGATTTTTTATTTTTATCATGTAGATATATTGCATATATGTTAAAACAACAACAAAAATTAAAGAGCTTCTAATAGTCCCATAAGCAAATACAGAATTTTGAATGTTGAATTTAATTATCATCTATATTTCTTTTGGTTCCCAGATGAAGCATTACCAACACAACATATTAGGCAAAGTGATAAATACAAAAACTCTATTTTTTCTTAATGGCAACATTCATATTTGAAGCAAGCTGTCAGTAGCAAACAGCTTTGCTTGAGTAGCCTGGCTTAGCAGATGTCTTTGTTAGGAATGTGACAATTATCACCATTATTTATTTCACTGAATATCAAGTGGTACAGAGGGAAGCCAAGTCCTCCTCAATAGTGCACGTGGTTAATTACATCATGCTATCTCCTCACATGCCTTATTCTTTGTTACTTGCTCTTGAAATGATCATAAAAAGACATATCTGACTGACTTAAAACCAAATGCAGTTCAAAGTTACTATCAGCTATCACACAAAACTATGTAGACTACATGGGGAAAAGGAAATTATTTTTTTCCAGCCACTTTACTTGCTGTTTAATAGTATTGGGTAACATTTTTTGAGGGCTTAGTCTATACCAGAGAGTGAGTAAGCATTTTACATGCATTATCTCTCTTCATTATAATCAGGAACTCCCCTGATATTTGCATATATATTCTTTCACCTACACTGTGCTGTCCTTTTAACATGTTATTATTTGTTACACTAGTCAGTGACTTGTTTTGATATTATAAAAATCATGAATTTTTACCCATTGAATATTTCCACCTATGGAAGTTCTATTATGAATGGAAAATTTATATTACAATAAAGACCAAATCATTGAGGAAAAAAACATAAAACTCTTGCTCCCCCAAATAAGCTAAATTTTATTCTTAATTCTATAAATTTACTTAAGGCAACTCTTTCTATAGAATTCAAGAATTCAATAAACAATAAAGCACTCACTATGGGAGCACTTTATATTCATTAGGTTGGATACAAAAATGAATTTAGTCTGTCCCTCTCTTCTTTTTTTTTTTTTTTGCGGTACGTGGGCCTCTCACTGTTGTGGCCTCTCGCGGCATGTGGGATTCTTCAGGGAACGAACCCGTGTTCCCTGCGTCGGCAGGCAGACTCTCAACCACTGTGCCACCAGGGAAGCCCTGTCCCTCTCTTCTAAGTGTATGGTCTAATGGAGAAGAGAAACAAACAATTGGATGCCAAACTAATTGTGCTAAATTCTGTGTTCCAGATATCAACCAAGTACTTAATAATGCGGGGAGGCTGTTGTTTTGACTTTGGTGGTGGGGAAAGAGCATTTTGGAGGAGAATGATGTGAATTAGGCTTTGAAGACCAGGTAAACTTACAAAAGCTGATCTGGAAGGAAGGGTGAGTGACAGAGGAAATAGTTTAAAAAAAGCAACTGAGCATAGGACCTGTTTGGACTTGTCACACGCCAGGGTGCAAGAATTTAGTGGGAGATAAGGCTAGAGTGATGGATTTAGACCAAATCATGGAGGGCTTTGACAGTAGAAGGCAATGGGTAGGAAAAGAAAGTCTGAGCTCAAAGGGACACACCTTTGGAAGATGACTAGCAGTAGTGTTCAGAAAAGCCAACATTTAAGGTATTACTGGGGAAAGACAATTAAATGAACCAAAGAAAGGGAAAGGGTTATTGTTGTTGTTGTTTAATGCAAAAGCACTTAACATGTGAATAGCAAAGTTGATTTGCTATTATTCCACTAAATGGAGGAAAAACAAACTGAAAGCAAGGAGACCATTTAGGAGGCTATGCAATGGTCCAGGCAAGAATTAATGACTTTCTGAAGAAAGGTAGTAAACAGAGGAGATTGATTTGAAAGATAATGGTGGAAAGAGATCCCATGGGATTTGAAAGATAATGGTGGAAAGAGATCCCATTGGGTTGATTAGCCAAGATCAAAAACCCAGGAGTGGGGCTTCCCTGGTGGCGCAGTGGTTGAGAGTCCGCCTGCCAATGCAGGGGACGCAGGTTTGTGCGCCGGTCCGGGAAGATCCCACATGCCGCGGAGCAGCTGGGCCCGTGAGCCATGGCCGCTGAGCCTGTGCGTCCGGAGCCTGTGCTCCGCAACGGGAGAGGCCACAACAGTGAGAGGCCCGCATACCGCAAAAAAAAAAAACAACAAAAAACCCAGGAGTGAAAAGTGATGAGTTTAATTTAGATCAGACTTAATACATCAGTGTGGGATGCTCAGCATATAGTTAGGAACAGGGTGTAAATAAGGGAAGACAGATAAGGGCTAAAGGTACAGAGCTGGGAGTCAGTCTTATAAAGAGGATAGCTAGATAGATCAAGCTGTAAAATAGGATGAGATTACCAAGGGACTGTCAAGACTTAAAGTAGAGAGGACTGAACACTGAATCTTCAGATTAAAGGGCTTGTTTTAAGGCAGGGAAGGTGTGAGGCAGGTTAGGAATCTTGGGAGAAAACTAAACAGAAGCAGTCCATGAGGCAGGAGGACCAAAAGAATGTAATGTGGGCTCCAGTGGAGATGAGAGTTCTAGTAAGAAGAGGGTGGTCAATGTTGTCAAATTCTGCTGAAATCAGAATTTGAGCAGAAGGTCGTTTTGGCTTTAAGACTTTCCATAGGCTGATGGTGCTGAGGATCAAGAGGGAGAAGAAACCAAGGTAGATGAAGAGGAAGATGATTGACAGAAATAGCATGAACAGAAATTAGAATCAAGGGAGAGTATTAGGCCAGGAAAGAAAGGTTTGTAGATATCAAGGGGGGTTGGGGGATGCACAGAAAATGGAAAGGTAATAGATTAAGGGGAGAAAATGGAAGGGCATCAAAGTCAAGAAGGACCCAGGGAGGGAGGAGAGAAAAGGAGAGATGGAAACACTGGCCTTAGAAGGAAATCAGGAAAAGTCTTCAGAGACTGGAGGGAAGACAAAAGGAATGGGTGGTAATTTGAACAGAATGAAATTTATGTAGTATTCATATCCGGTGTTCTCCAGCTTCCCATAATGTAGATAGCAAAAGAGGGTGGATGTAGGCGTAGAAATTGAAAGGGAGTACAGAAGATTGGAACAACAGCTATGTGTATTATAAGGGTGAATTGATGATAGGTAAGAAAAGGAATTCCCAGGGTTATTGAATTCCCAGACATATTGGAAAAATATATTTTAGAGCCTCCAATCAACCTGGTTATGTCTATTTTCTCCAGAATTCTTCAGCTGCCTAGAAAAGGAACAAGAAGAAACAGATGGTTGGCTTAACCAGGTCTGGAGGTTGACACGACAGTTGTGAACCAAGATGAGTGAAATAAGTCATTAGGTTGCAGGTCTGGCGAGCACAGTGGGAAGAACTGTCCCTGAGATTCCTCAGGTAGGTGGCTTGGGACATCCTGAGAGGCCAGGAATGCTGGCAAATGGAGAAAGAGCAAAGGGTATGGGCCTGAAAATGTGAAGGATGGGTCAGAAAAAAGTGAGGTAATAGGAGAGATAGACAGATAGTGGTCAGAGGAAACTTTTCAAGTTTGAGAGTCTCAAATGTGGAGACGTTATGGATGATGGTGAAAACTAAGGTGTGGCGACACTAAGGGAGATCTGAGGCAGAATGAGATGGAGCCACAGAGCTCAAGGTAAAGGAACTGATAGGTCAGAGAGTTAGAAAGATTATCAACATGGAATTTGAATCCCAAGGGAAAATACACTGGCTATAGGTGAGATTTTTTTATACGACTAAAAACACATTAATGTGATATTAAAACACATGAGCAGCTAGAAAAATACTTGGAAGGAAGACACCCAACCTTGTTCATTCAATAAATACATATTGAGCTGTGGGTTTAATGTGAAACTATATGCAGTAAACATGATGTGGTGGATTCCTCCCAAGCAATGGTTTCATTAAGATTAAGAGTTTGCTTCCCACTGTCAAAGAGTATAACTTAGCACCTGATGACCTCATACTAAAAATGGAAAATACAGGGCTTCCCTGGCGGCGCAGTGGTTGAGAGTCTGCCTGCTGATGCAGGGGACATGGGTTCGTGCCGCGGTCCGGGAAGATCCCACATGCCGCGGAGTGGCTGGGCCCGTGAGCCATGGCCGCTGCGCGTCCGGAGACTGTGCTCCGCAACAGGAGAGGCCACAACAGTGAGAGGCCCGTGTACCGCAAAAAAAAAAAAAAAAAAAAAAAAGGAAAATACAAACTTGGAAGAAAGAAAACGGTAGAAAAGCTAAACCTTGTCACATCACCATATACTTAAGTGAATGGTTGAACCAAGTAAATAATAGTGATTCCCAGGAAATTACTCATATTCAGCATGAAACTACTAACCACTCCCTAATGTTCTGGCTTAGAGTATAAACTCACACTCAGAGACTCTTTCTACAGTCGATGAACCCAGACCTGCAGCCTCTCTCACTCTGGGTTGTCATAATACTAGCTTGGTGGTGGGATATCTGTAGTCACGAATGCAGGAGCCACAGTAAACTGGGCTCACTGGTCCTTTGTAGCCCAGATGCGGACACAGCCACAATTTTCTAAAGTTCTAAAAATAGGTTGTTTTTTTAGAGACAAGTACTCTATTATATACACTCATCAGGAGATTGTGCAGAGTTTGGGATGTTGTAATCATCCAACTCAAAGAGGAATTGTTAGCCAGATGTTGAAAAATACATGCAAATGGGCTCTGGGAGTACACGTTATCTCTAAATCTTCTCAAAGAATGTTGACCTAGTCCTAAAGCATTTATTTACACATTCTTTTCAAACCATCTTTAAACTCAGAAGCCCCATTTTGCATCACACAGGTTAGTCCAATATAGACAGTGTTGATCATTGTTGAAGCTGTGTGATGGATATGAAGATTTACTGTACTCTTCTCCCTACTTTAAATATGTTTGAAACTTTCCACACTAACAAGTTTTGTTTTAAAGGCAAAAAAGGAGATAAGTCCTTTTATTGTGCTTGTATAGCAATGAGACCCCTTTCTTGCTTTTCCCCTTCCTGCTGACATACACTGTAACCTATCAGAAATTGCTTATCCCAGTTCCATTTTTTCCAGAACAAATTAGAATGTACTAACGTTAAGATTTGAATGGTATAACATCATTATTATTTCAAATATTCCTTCACGCTTCATAAAACTCTTCCATATGCTGTCATTTCATTTACTTCCATGGAACTTCTGTACTCACAGGCATTCTTCCAAATAGTTGCTATCCCAAAAGAAAACAGGCTTTAATCATTCAGTAACCAATCTTCATTGAACATCTAGTATGTGCCATTATTTTAACATTATTTTAAAATTCCATGGCTAAATATCTTTGTAAGGAAAAAAATAACACCCAACAGAAAACTTTTATTTGCTCCATAAACATTTATTGAGCACCCACTGTCTGCAAGGTAGATGCTCCAGTCTTGGCTGCACATCATGCTAGGAACTTCTGCACTGAAGCAAGAATGGGTGATGGTTAGTGAGATGGTCCTTGCAATGAGGGAAGAGGAGCTTTTTAAAGAATGCATATCCCCAGGCTCTGCACACAGAGAAGTTTAGGTCTGGGTGGTTCCAAAAGGGTTGGGAACCCCTGGTCTAACTCACCAAGTCTGATGGGAACCAGAGCAGACTCTAGTCTTACTGAAGCTGGCACTGCCATCTATGGAGTGTAGTTGGTGGGTGTAAAGCAGGCAGGATATGTGTTTGCAGCTTCATCCTGATGCTGAAAAGGCTAAGAAAACAGGGTGCAAGCCTAGAGAAAAACTCAGCAGGATTTGGACAAGTGGTCAGGACTCGGAGCTGACTGGGCTTAGGTTCAAGGCTGGGCTTTGGTCCTGGTGGAATTCTCAGCAGGGACCCAGAAAGGATTGATTGTGTATTCATTCGGTCCCTTTTGTGTAACAGGCACTGTGCAAAGCTCTTTACTTACAAAATCTCATTTCATCCTCATGACAGCCCTGTGAGACAGGTTGACTTGCCCAAGGTCAGATGGCCAGTAAGTGGATGAGTTGTATTTGAACCTAAGTCTATTCTGAATGCAAAGCCTATACTCTTTCTGTCTCTGTGGTATCTACAGGGACTGGGGCAAAGGCTTGCCAGGCTTACACAGGGGTGATAGCTAGGAAGATCATTTGACAGTAAAGGACTCTGCTCACATGAGGCATCAGGCAGCTGACTGTTTCCATCCTCACTCCACTCACTAGTGGTTAAAATAAATTCCCAGTGACTCGTGACTGACAGGGTTCTCATTATTCCCAGATTATGTCCTAGGCAACGTAGTAAAATTGGCAAATTTGTCTTTGTGTCCCCAGCATCCCCAATTTTACCTGTTTCTTCCCCAATAGCTGAGAAGGGGCCTACTGTCCTCATGATCTTCACCTCCATTCACATCAAGTAGTACATGTCTGATGACAGGTGAAAGCATTTTGCTTTTGGGACCTACTGCTTTCGAACAAAGAGCAGGCAGTTAGAGGAATGACGTTGATATCAGAGGCAGGAGCTAGGAAGGATTGGGGAGATATGCTGAATTCCCTGAAATCACACTTGTAGATAGGTGGTAGCACATTCAAATGGATCCTATTGCTGCCTGAAGAGAAATGATAACATTTCAGGGGATGGGATGATCAAGAGTCCTGCTGCTCCAGAGATTCTCCTGAAGTACTTTTCATCCCACAGTACCAGCCTATCTGTACAAAGTCCTCATTTTCACAGGAAACAATACATATGTGTGTGCTTCTCACAGAGATGGTAATCAGTGGGCATAATCCATCAAAGCCTCTTTCTTTTGATAACTGAAGTTATAGACCCAGACACTGCTTTATCAATATTCCAAATACCAGTACTGCCCTACCCTACAATAAACAGAGTAAACAAGAGTGGCTCTCCTGGTACTCACCCACCACCCTTCAATCATTGTTAATGAGAACCCGAAATTCTGGAATTTTCCTCTACTTATCAAAATCACTTGTAAGTTCAAAAATATTTTGGCAAATATTTTTGATTAGTGGCTATGAAATATGGATAGATAGATGGATGGATGGGTGGATGGATGGATGGATAGATACATAGATTGATTTAGATTTAAAGGTGGTAGCTTGGGGCTTCCCTGGTGGCGCAGTGGTTAAGAACTCCTGCCAATACAGGGGATACGGGCTCAAGCCCTGGTCCGGGAATATCACACATGCTGTGGAGCAACTAAGCCCATGCGCCACAACTACTGAAGCCCGCGTGCTGAGAGCCCGTGCTCCGCAACAAGAGAAGCCCCTGCTCACCGCAACTAGAGAAAGCTCGGGCACGGCAACGAAGACCCAATGCAGCCAAAAATAAATAAATAAAAATAAATAAACTTTATAAATGTGGTAGTTTGCTGAAAGAATATAGTAATGACCTGTAAATGTGATAACATTAAGCTGGATGACAATTTTCTGTATCCTGTATATAAAACAGAACAGTAATTTTATAAGGCAACATAGTAAAGTAGACCAAAGGCTTGGCTTTGTTGCTTTTTTTAAAGTTTTTGACCGCACCCCATGGCATGTGGGATCTTAGTTCCCCGACCAGGGATCAAACCCGTTCCTCCTGCATTGGAAGTACGGACTCTTAACCACTGGACCGACCGCCGGGGAAGTCCCTTCGTTGCTTATTAACTGTGCAACTTTTGTAAATTACTTGACTTCTCTGAACCTTGATTTCTGCCATGATAAAATCAAAATGGTAAAACTTGCCTGAAGAAGTTTTTTGTGAGGACTGCGTGTAATATATGATATGTTAAGTCCCTAACAATGCCTGGGACATAGGGACTCAAACTTTTTTGTTGAATGAATAAATAGTAGATGCTCAATACAGGCCATTTTTATTATTTTTTTACAGTATTTGTCCAACTTCATAGGCTTTAAACCTGTCTATACCATGTTCCTCATTAATGCTTTCATATTTAATTACAAAAGCAAACACATCTGTTGCAAAAATTCAGATTATATAAGTGTACAAATAAAAAGTGAAAGGCCCTACTTCCATACCTTAGAGGTAGCTACTGTTAAGAGTTTGATATATATTTTTTCAGACCTTTTTCTAGGCCTATACAAATATATGATATAATTTCTAAACATGAGTTTATACTATACACAGTGTTCTGTTACTTGAGTTTTTTTATATAAGATCTTGGACATCTTTCCAGACGCAGTATTCTATTTGTATGGGTTAGACTGTAATTTATTATACAAATCTCCTATAAATGGACAATTATGTTATTTACTATTTTTTGCTGTTTCAACCAGTGTTGCAATAAACATCCTTATGAAAAAATTTTTTGGCATATATGCTAGTTATTTTTCTAGGATAAATTTCTAGAAGAGGAATAGCCTAGTCAAAGGACACACACACACACACACACACATATATATATATATATATTTTTAAAGGTTAAGCTATAGGTACAGGCTCTTTTAATTTATTTTATTTTTATTTATTTTTGGCTGTGTTGGGGCTTCGTTGCTGTGCGTGGGCTTTCTCTAGTTGCAGAGAGCAGGGGCTACTCTTCGTTGCAGTGCACGGGCTTCTCATTGCTGTGGCTTCTCTTGTTGTGGAGCACGGGCTCTAGGCACACGGACTTCAGAAGTTGTGGCTCGCAGGCTCTAGAGCGCAGGCTCAGTAGTTGTGGTGCACGGGCTTAGTTGCTCCGCGGCATGTGGGATCTTCCCTGACCAGGGCTCGAACCCGTGTCCCCTGCATTGGCAGACAGATTCTTAACCACTGCACCACCAGGGAAGCCCCAGGACACACATATTAACTAGACTCTGCCAGCTTGCACGTAGAGTGTTATGGGCTGAATCATGTCCCCTCAAAATTCACGTTGAAGCCCTAATTCCCAGTACCTCCGAGTGTGACTGTATTTGGGCCTTTAAAGGGGGTGATTAAGTTAAAATGAGGCCATTAGGGTGGGCCCTAATCCAGTCTGACTGGTATCCTTATCAGAAGAGGAAATTTGGACAAAGAGACACCAGGCATGGGCATGCACAGAGGAAAGACCATGTGAGGACACAGAGAGAAGGCACTCATCTACAAGCCAAGGGGAGAGGCCTTTGGAGAAGGCAGTCACCTTGATCTTAGGCTTCAAGCCTCAGAACTATAAGAAAATAAATTTCTGTTGTTTAAACTACCCAGGCTGTGGTATTTATTACAGCAGCCTGAGCAAACTAATACAGAGGGGTTTTTCTCAAGGTCCTTGTGGCCCTTCTGCTTTGAGCTGCGGTCCGTGTGGTATAAACAAGCTGTTCAAGCCACTTGTTCCCTACTTTCTTCATCCCATGTTCTCTCTGTCCTTTCCTTTATTGTCCTCACTCTCCTTGCTCATTGCAGTTTATTTAATAAGGGGTGTTTATTATGACCCTTGGGGGATTTGAAAGATGTTTGGATGTTTGTGAACAATTTGTTTTTTGATGTGCCTCATTCTGGTTGGTATGGCATTAAAATAACAGGAAGAAGATATTAAGGTATTTTCCCATTGACTTTATCCTCCATTTTCATTATGTGAACTATGAAACAAAGAAAATCTTTTCCACATAATTTCGCTTACATTTCTTCCACTGATTGGCTAGGTCGAGTTCACACACCCCTTGAGACCTCATTTTAACACATTCCCTCTCCCTGACCATCCCTTCCCCCTCAGCCTTCATTATATCTGATGTGTGTGTTTCTGGGCGAAAGTAGGGAGGAAACTTGAAATTACCCGAGGATCCACATTCTGCTCTGCAGCCATCCTCAGTAACTTTCGCATATTTGACATTCTTTCAATTTCCTGAAGAAGACTGACTCACCCAAAATTACACAGCCACAGTAGATGGAATAATTGGTCTCAAGGTCTCCTAATATTTCTTTCTTCCTTCAGCAATTCCTTTTACTTGTAAAGTGAGAGATTGCTTTACTGGAGACTGCTGTGTGCTAGAGACAAAAGGAAAGGAAGAGGGAAAGTACCTGCCATTGACTGAAAAAAGGGTTATACTTGTATGATCTCTTCATTCTCTGTATTTTCTTTTCAGAGTACACGTTGGTTGCTTATGTACCACACCACACCGTAGGTTTGGGGAGCTTGTGCTTACTTGTCTCCAACAGGGTAGTAATATATCTTAGGAGGCTAAGAGTCAGGCCTGCCTCTACTTCGAACTGATCAGGAGGGAGAGAGAAGCGTGAGAGGCAGCAAGGATGAAACAAGAGGGGTAAAGGTGGACCTTCTTCTCTCTGCGCAACCTTGCTAACAGAAGTGTCAGCTAAGCCTTTCATTTGAGTGTCAGGACGATGCCAAAAGCAAACAAACACAGAAATCTCATGGGGATGTTAAAAAAAAAAACAGATAAATCTATCTGGGGGTGAAGGGGAGATTGTGTAGGAAAGTGTTTTTTGGTTTTGTTTTTTGCATGACTTTTTTCTTAATGTGTTTGTATGTGTGTAATGGAAGCTGAGGATAAATTAAAGAGCAAATATGAAGATAATAATCCTTCCTATTTGCAATACTCAAGTTCCATTTTTTGGCCCTTTTTTGGTGTTGCTTTTTCTACTCTATTCAGTTTCCTATGACACATATGAACCCTATAAACATATGCAATTATTTCCAAAACATTTTGGTATTTTCCAAAAAATTTGGGTGTCTACTAGGTGCAAGGCATTATGCTGGGTTTGCACAAAATAAAAAGATAGCTAAGCTTTTGTCTATCCTTAGGGTCTGCAGTCTCAGTGTTCCCGGTGAATCTGAGGTTCTTGATGTCTCGTCGCAGTCAGAATTCAGTGAGAGACAAAGTGATAGGGAAGAAGTGGATTTATTTAGAGAGAAACACACTCCACAGACAGAGTATGGGCCATCTCAGAAGGTAAGAGGCCCCGAAATATGGCGTGGTTAGTTTTTATGGGCTGGGTAATTTCATAGGCTAATTAGTGGGAGGATTATTCCAATTATTTCAGGGAAGGGGTGGAGATTTCCAGGAATTGGGCCACCACCCACTTTTTGGCCTTTTATGGTTAGCCTTAGAACTGTCATGGCATTGGTGGGACTGTCATTTAGCATGCTAATGTATTACAATGAGAGTATGATAAGGCTCAAGGTCCATTATTAGTCGAATATTCTGCCATCTTGGACCAGGTTGGTTTTAACCAGTTTTTGTCATGTCCTATGCCTATGTCATTTTTTTCAAGGTTGTGCCCTGCCCACTTCCTTCCTGTTTCAATAGCAAAAGTAATTCATGGTCATATTAGCTCATAGATTTGTAAAAGCAGCTAAATTTTAGAAGAGAAAACATTTTAATTGTCTAATGCTCATTGACAGCATCTAAATGTCACTGACATTTAGCTCAAACCAAAAACATATTTTGAAATAATAAGCAATTAAATGAACACTTTTATCAGAAACAAGGATTTCAGAATAGTTTGCTCACTTGTATGTTGTAAATTGTAAAAGGAAAAGGGTTACACCCACACCATATGTGAACTATAGGACTATAAAGTGATATAATGTCATCTGCAATACATCTGCTTCATTTAAATACAAATTCTAACATTTATAGTTTCAGTAGTTGGTCTCGTGGCCTTATACATAACATGAAAAAAATAATATTTGAGGAAGTTTTTGAATTTGTAGGTGGCTGATGTAGTTATAAGATTTCTTCCAATTCTTTTTTTTTTTTTAAGAAGATGTTGGGGGTAGGAGTTTATTAATTTATTTATTTTTGCTGTGTTGGGTCTTCGTTTCCGTGCGAAGGCTCTCTCTAGTTGTGGCAAGTGGGGGCCACTCTTCATCGTGGTGTGCGGGCCTCTCACTATTGCGGCCTCTCTTGTTGTGGAGCACAGGCTCCAGACGCGCAGGCTCAGTAGTTGTGGCTTACGGGCCTAGCCGCTCCGCGGCATGTGGGATCTTCCCAGACCAGGGCTCGAACCCGTGTTCCCTGCATTAGCAGGCGGACTCTCAACCACTGAGCCACCAGGGAAGCCCTCTTCCAATTCTTAAGATATTAGATTCTATTAAGACACAAATGTAGCCTTTTGAAATAAGAATTCCAGGAGGAAATACCTATAGTTCAACATTATTGTTTAATGCTGTGCTGCTACCATTTTGGATACTAAAGATGGCCATTATTTTTGTTTCATAAAATGTGTTTATCTGTTTATAGTGGTTGACTGGCAAGATGTTATCATTTACTGCCAAATTTCTAGAAGCAAATCAAGGAAAAAGAGTATCAGCTAAAAAGTAAATAAATAAATGAATCTCAATCACAATTCCTTCCATGAAATGGATCACATCATGGGTAACAATCACAAACATTATCATTTGATCTTTTATTTTTTTATCAGACACATAAGCATCTCTCTAAAATAGGTACCAATCAATGCCAAATGCTTAAAGGTATAGTACAAGAAAGAGTCTTTAAGTTGTTGGGAGCCTCATAAAGGGAGTAATGACACAGTATTTTAACTATTACTAAGCATTTGTCCTCCGCCAGTGAACCTTCATGGTAATCCAATGCAATTGCTTCCATAAAGCAAGCACATTAGTCTGGCACAGGCATTTGCTTCCTCTCTGAATTTCCTGTTTTCCTGGATATGAGATCTCTGAGGTCCACCTTCAGGAACTAGTCACTCACTCAGAGGTCTGCTAGGAAAAGTGGTTTTGAGAGGGTAAGTTCCTATTGCTTAAAGTGACAGCCTTGTTCTAATGTAACACGTTCCATCTACACAAACTTAAGTACAATTCAATTCACTTTCACAAACCTCTTATATAGCAGGAGGCATTCAGTCATTGCCAAAGTCAATATATTAAGTCTGGTTGTTGAAGGCAGCTGGTTTCCCATAAAACCATGTGTCCCTATTTCCTATTTCAGTCAGTGGTAGGAAATGCCAAAGGGAGTTGGCAACAATGGCATTTTCCACTTATAATAGATTTTTTTTAATGTACTTTGGATTTTTCTCCAATATTGTGCTCAGTGGTATTTCTACCATGTAATCGGATTGGATGGCTCACAACATGGTGATGACTGGCAAGGAAACCTCAAGGTAAATGACTTCCTCTATTCCCTCAATCCCAGAGGCAACTGTGCTGCCAATCTTATTACCAGGGACATGGAGTCCTCAGAGGAAAGTGGGACTCTCATCTGCATTAGAAGTAAGTTTCCAGGAGAGCCCTGGAATTTGAAAATTCCTTGAGGCTCCAGTGTTTAATTGAGATAAATGAGGCCTCCCAGGGCAGTCTGGATTCAGACATCCTATTTCTGTGCTGCTTTCTCCCCCACTCCCTCCTTGGCTGGTGGGAAAAAGAAAAACTCCCCCTTCTAAGGTAAAGAATTTAAGAATGAGAGCTATTTGCTGTTTGTTTAAATCTCTGGTCTTCAAATTGCATGGTTCTCTCATTTTATTTTATTTTTTTGTTTTGTTATTACTGCTGTGTCTTTTGGCCTCTCTTCCTCTGTGGGGTCAAGTTTGATCTTTACAAAGGAAGAGGAAGTATGAGGCTTTAATTTTTCTAATTTCTGTTCACTCGTTGTATAACCTTGCAAGTGTCACTTGACTTCCTGTACCGTATAGTTTCTTAATCTAAAAAAGGGCATGTCAATATCTATTCCCTTTCATTTGTAAAACATAACACTGCCAATTATTTTAGTTAAATTCTTTGATCTCAATAGAACTTTTCTCTGATAACTATGCTATTTGATCGTGAATTTAACACTAGAATGCACTATTAGTTTTCAAATATTTAAATTTTAAATACAAAAGTATTTAAACCATACTTACCTTGATTCCCTGTGTTTGTATTTCATTACACTTAAAACAGATTTTGTGGGTGGTAGAATATTTCTGTTGGGGAATATCTTGAATTATGAGGTTTCATATTCAAAATGTGACTTGAACAAAATATACTCCCATATTCATTAATAATAGGAAACTAAATTAGCTTCAGCTTTTGTGAATAAGTTATGTCTTTTTCACAAGAAAAAAAGTTTTAGTTAGTTAATGACTTTATTTTACATATCATTTCTTAATGCTCTTCTACTGTTCTTCAAAGGAGAAAAGTACTCAAGGGCTTTTTGGATATTTGGACATTACTGTAAACAAAGAAATATTACAGATTGCCTAACCCACTTCATAAAATACACATCTGAAATTTCAAGCTCCACTCCTACCACCCAGCCGGACTATGTCTGCTAAGTTTTAGCAATGTAGTAAACAGGACCAACTTGTTCTATAAGAAGCGCCATCTCACTTATAATGTCATTTTCTGAATTGGTGCTTAAGGAAAACCTTCGGATAGACCTAATAGCATTCACATGTCTTTCTTCTTGCATTAAAGGAAGAAGTACCTGAAAATTGTAAAAAACAAACAAACAAACGAAAACCCATCTTACCCTTTCACCAGACCAAATGTCTAGCAAATGAGAATAGGATTCAGGAAAACAGAGGAATAAATCTCTCCATGTGATGTCTTGTGTATTTGAAAAGTGTGAGATATTTGAATTTGTCGCAGGCTTTTACAAATTCTGAGACCTTGAGTAAATCACTTCACTTCTCTGAACATTGGTTTCCTCGTTTGAAAAATAAGGGTAATATCTATTCCACAACATTGTTATATCAATTAAATTTGATTGATGAGAAATGGCTGGCTATAAAAATTCTTATCGTCAAGTCAACTAGCAGATTATGATAGGTAGTCCTGCTCTATTACCAAAGCTAGAACGTAGCATATTTATCATAGACAATTACCAAAACAATTGCATTCGTACAACACTTCATAGTTTACAAAGTACGTTCACCTAAAAAATACTTTCACTTATGCATATTCAGATAATAAGCCTGGGTGTTTTTTTCCCTATTCAGATATTAATTCTGGGCATTTGGGGAGAAGCTTTAAGAAACATTCAGCAGCTGTGTGCCAGAGTTTTGGCAAACTGACATTCATTAATTATATTTAACACATCTACATTGAACACACATAATATGTGCTCGTGCAGCAATTCTCAAACTTTTGGGCTCAGGATCTCTTTACATTCTTACAAATTATTGAGGATCCCAAAGACTTTTTGTTTATGTGGAATGTATTTATTGATATTACTGTATTCGAAATTAAAACTGATAAGTTTAAAAATATGATTTATTCATTAAAAAACAATAAATCCACTAAATGTTAACATAAATAACACACTTGTATGAAAAATAGCCATATCTTCCAAAACAACAACAACAAAATAGTTTGAATGCCATTGTCTTACATTTTTGCAAATCCCTTTAATATCTGGCTTAATATTAGACAACTGGATTATTTGTGTTCTCACATTCATTCTGCTGCAGTTAACACACTTCACGTAGTGTCTGGAAAACTCCACTATTACGCTCACGAGAGACTGAAAATGAAAAAGTTTAAAAAAAAAAAAAAAAAAAAAAAAA